AATACTAGTAAGCATTATAATCATAAAAATAATACTATGGCTGTATGTTCACGCGACTGAGATAAAATTTATTCTACATTCTTACGAATCATGAGTGCTACGGTTATATCAAATGTCATGGTGATTGACTGAACAATTAGGGAATCAAGATGTAACAAACAAAAAATATTTTCACTTTTATATGTAATATATATAATTATAACTATTTATCTTCCTACAGACATCTTCCTACATTCTAACTTAATTTGGACTTTATGACAATAATCTATCTACTTACATGTATTGTTATTTTTACAATACGACTGGCTTTACTTCCTTAAATAAGTAATACCTTTTTTAAATTAAAAGGCAAATTTTATTCCAAATTTTAGATTATGTGTATTAGGATTGTTATGTAATCATTATAAATATTTCAATAGTTCAATATTTGAAATATTTCCGAGATGAAAAATCCAAAATTAATTATAGGTTATTGTAAATTAAGTTTTGTATGTTTATTCAGTACCATGTTGAATTTTATAGATATTATGCATGAAAATATATTAATAAACTATTTTTGACGTAATTAGTATATCATTATATTATAAAATATAATTTTTAAATAATATTGCATTTACCAGGAAACAATAAGATCCTTTCCGTTATATACAGACAAGATCCTTCTTTATTATCATATTTTCCTTATTTCTATTTTTTTTATTCTTTTTTTTCATGTTAAAATTACGTGTAAAATGCGCTTATTTAACTTAGCATAACACTTTCTGAGTTCAGTGGCCGCAATTAGATTTCTCTTGAACCATGAAAATTACTATCTAATTAGATAGGTACTAACATTCTATCGGTATTTTGATTTGTAATATCTAATATGTCGCAGTTCAATGCTCTAATAAGTCGATAAATAGCAATCAGTGGGTACGCAAATTGCACTTACGGCAACCTCTTGTTACTTAAATAGGTGCATTAAAACGGGTACTTACATGCATACTTGGAAAAGCGAATAGTGGATAATCCTTAAGAGGCAAGGTCAATGCTTTTAAATATTTTTTTTTATATGACTTAGAATGGCAAATAAGCTGATGGCCCATCCGATGGAAAGTGGTAACTGTCGCCTATAGACATGAGCAGTACCATTGACATAACAGAGTATACTGTTTCGCCCATGATACCCTCATTGCGTTGCCATTCCTGAGAACTCAGGTGTTATTCCTCTGTACTCTGTAAATTCACGCCATGCAAACACAACTGATTCATGGTTGAAACACGAATGGGACAACGGTACCCAAGGAAACTACTTTTGTACAATCTCCCTCCGGTATATATTTCCATAATTCTAGTAAATTATTTTCTTTTCTACCTTAACGTATCAGTGGCTAATTATTTAAATTCCAAGTGCTTCTGTTAAAATTAACATTCATCCTTTATCTGATAATTTGGATTATTTCTAAAATAATTACAAGCATTATTTCGATTTTCCCACAAAACATTGCGCTAATGATTACATGGAGCCAAACTTCACAAGGCTCTTTGTTTTGTGGTCAGTCACAGAAAACTAAAATGCTGGCAAGATTTTGTAACATGCTACTTTTGTAAGTCGTAGCCACAATGTTTAAATTACATTGATTAAATGGTTTCTCAAAATGTTGATCAATAATATCTACTATGATCATAAGACATTGTAATGTTTTTTATGACGCACGTAAAGGGGTCATAATTGTTTTATAACACAGGGGGCAAACGAGCATACGGCCCACCTGATAGTAAGTGACTATCGCCGCTCTTGAGCACCCGCAACACTAGAGTAATTGCATGTGTGCTGTCGACCAATTTTATTAATAGTTCGATTATGACTCCGATGCGGCCGTGGTGCTCGCTCATATGTGACGCTGTTACTGTACGGATACCGCTACGCATTATGGACTGTTTGACGCCTATAGCTATGCATTAGTCCGTTAAACATAACATACATTCCACTATCTTGAACATAAATATATTTTTCTATTCAACACAAATGTAGAATCAGCCGCGGATCTCACAACATTAGCATATTCTTAATTGTTCACTTCTCTCTAATAATATGCTTACAATCTTTAACCGCGTTGATATTGTCTACAATAGCTACTTAAAAGATATTAATCGATTTAGGTTAAGGTAGCCTCAATATAACGAACACTCGATATTCTCAGATCTGTCAAAAGTCTGATGTCAAAATGGCGCAGACAAGTTATTTTACGAGTGTCAATTGTTGTAGCAAACCATTGTACCTATTGTCATTGAGATATCAAAAATCTCGATTATGAACACCTGTTTCGTGTGTATTATATTTATAGCTTGATAAATTAGGAACAATATTTTGTTTATTTATATCAACTAATATCAAGGTTAATTAATATGTAATAATACTTAAGATCTACTGTTTTGATTACATTCTTTAGCTGTTCGATTGCAAATTGAATCATCACTACTAATTGCTGTTAATATCCTCAAATTGCACGCACTAAGAGTTCACCAACCTTCAAGTTGAATTCCGCTTCTAATATAATATATATTCGCAGTTAGATGTATTTATTAGTCGTTTGGTTGATGTTTCTATATTATTTTATGTGTACCAAATACACTCAAAAGATAATAAAAGCTAAACATCATTCTATGATTCTTTGATATAAAATTATTAATAAACGTAATAATAAAACGGTTTTCCTGAATCACATGGTGTGGTGGGTAAAGCCTGAAGTTAAACTCGATCACTAGATGCATAATAAAAACAATTTAAATAAATTAACCTTCAAAGAATATTTTCAATAGGATACGCAGTGACTGTAAGTATAATGGTACAAGCACGACTACATACCATTGATATTGTTTTTGTACTCTTAAAAATAATAAAAACATGTTTAATGTTTATAATGTTACCAAAAATAAATTGATCACCTTTGAATACACTTTTTGTGAAGTAATGATATAAATAAAAAAATACTTGTAAAAATCTTCTATTATCGTAGTTAATAAACAATAACCTTACCAATCTTATGTTATTCTTTTAAAAAGTGTAATCATTCTCAATTTTATACGTTTACAAATAAATACTAATACTTAGTTTATTATTAAAAACAATATACATAGAATAAAACTTAGAACTTATATTATTTCAATTCTAAATATTATATTTATGTTAAATTATTACGCCTCTCCTATAATACAAGAAACACAGCATTATAATTTTGTAACCACCATTCGGAGATGACGACGTACCGAAACAAAGAAGCACATGAACTTTAAACTAAATTGAAAGTGCAAGATGACGTATCATTAACTCCGATTTGGGTCGTAGATCCATTGATAAAATAACAGATTAGCCGAACTTTATGCTGAAGTTAATAAACTGAGGTGTATTGTTGAAATCTGTTACGAAAACCCATGCCGATAGTTCATGGACTTATTTTATTAATAATATACTATAACTCTATAAATATTAAAAGGAAAATATTTTTACTTTTTTACGTTCTTTTATGATTAGATGCTAATTATAGTGTACTTGGATAGATGTGTCGCAGATTATGTATATTGTAAAAAATTTCTAAGACTCCTTTTTATTGTCGTTAGGCGTCTCCTGTTAACTGCTTTTAAAGTGATTTCGAGCCACCACCAGCCCTTAATTCATTACTTTTCATGGGGTATTGCCCTACACCTTATACTATCTTTGTCTGTATAGGTTAACAGTCATTTTTCATTAGATTTTTTACTACATCATCTTTCTTAGTTTTCTAATTCTCCAACTGATTTATTACAATTACTACTACTATAGTTTACTAGTCATTTTAGTATGTTGGTTACTATGGTTTCTTGTTTCGGATACTATAAACCATAAATACCCTTCTTTACATCTCTCTGAGCATCTTATGACATATTAATTTGCAATTTCCCGATAAAGTAGGAAATAATCCAAATGACTTAAGTTATCAGAAGGTACATTAACGGCACATCAGTTGCATAAAACTGTGGAGTAGTTGCACAACCGGCGCAATTCACTCTCGTTTGTCCCGCAGGCCGCCGCCATTGTCGCGCACGCGCTTTACTGGGAACGTTCCCGCGTAAACGAGGCAAAAAGCGCGGGAAATACACCTAAACAATAATGGCCGACATAACGCTCCGAATGTTATCTGTTGCGTTTACAACATAGTGTAGGTATGTTCTCATTGCTTGTTTAAGACTTAAGTCATTCAATGCAAACCGGTGAACGTTTTGCAATAAATAAAGACAAAATAGATTTGTCTGTTAGGTTAAGTACCTAACCTTATAAATAGGGGGTTGGGAAGGGATTGTTAGTAATGTAGACTACCAGTCCTATTGCTAGCAATATACTCTATCAGGTCGACCGCCAAGTGGTCCCCATTGGAAACCATCGTGCTGAATTCCAGGTGCATTCATCACGATGAGCTAACTGACCTGTCTTCTCACCTATTATCCCTCACTGGTGCCCCACCAGTGTATACCGTTGACACATGCAGAGCTACCATTTCATTATCATCCATTAAAAGAAACCTAATAGATAAGTACCTCCTTAAGTAACTGATATTAGAAATAAACAATTATTACAATTTTATTATTGCTAAGAAACAATAATATTTACGAACTGACAGGAAATTCTGTGAAATACCCGTCATCCACATGTATAACAATTCTGTTTAATAACCATACATTTTACAGCTAAAGAATTTGTTTCAATTCACAATCACAAATTTTAAAACAACAAACAAACAAACTGCATTTGTAACCGATGTGTTCATTTACGTAGTGTCACGATTGTTGCTGGCACGCTCGGGCAGAGTTAACACTGCAAGCTATAATTATAGATTCATAAGGTACATACCTTACCTACCATATCAAGGACTCCGAATGTTTCGACAGTGAATATTTTAAACATCGCGGCGATACGTTCGCCAAAAATCAAAAACATTCAAATGTAGCTTAATCGTTATTTCGGGATTAGCACAACCTTTTACAAAATGGTCAACGGGAACTATATACTGTATGGGGATAGGCCGGTCTCTGAATCGGAGATCGTGGATGACCACGTTCATTCAAGAACAGTTGAACGTAAAACCAAACGTAAGCCCAATAGAATGGCTAACGATCTTCAAAATTCTCTAAATACAGCCCAGTTGGATAATGAAACCGACTCGATTAAATACGAGAAAAGAATTAAAGAACCAAGGCTGCTACGATATGTACCAACTACGGATGTAGAAGAGAATTATGTATCAGAAAAATTCGAAACGTACGATTTGAAACCAACAACAGAGGAGCGCCCCAGACGATATGCTTTCACGAAGAAGCCTAAAAATCCAGCGGATGGATCTGTCAATTATGCGTATTCACGATCAAGTAGCAGTTGTAGTTCCCCAAATGGTAATTTGCCAACGATATCTGAACATGGTGAACAATACGGTACCTACAAAGTCCGTTCAGTCTCAACTCAAGAATCCAACGAGTATGAAAGTGAAGCTATGAAAGGCTATGAAAATAAACTTGACAAATATTTCTCCCGGCCAAAAGAAGTAAAAAAGTTTGCTGCTAAGGTAAGATACAGTGTAAGTTGAATGATTTATTTCAATGGTTTATTTTTAGACTGATATACATATTCTGTCTTCTTATTTTAGGATTAGTATTGGTTAGTTACGGTTGGCTGAAGTATTGAGGATATCCGCTACTTAATCTATTTCATTTGGAATAAACTCCATATCCTTCTTGCAAATTTATTGTTCACTCCTGCACATGTTATATTATCTATAAATACGTTAACGTTTCTTATTATTGTTGTCTACGACGATAATTAACTTGCATAAATTTATTTATCTTGGTAGCAATAAAATAAACACACGGTAACGGCATGTGGGCGCAGTTTGTCGAGATAGTATCTCACGAAACAAATTGTATCTATAACTTATTTAGTCACTCCTAAGTTACAGTTTTAATAGGTCCAAGGGTTATTAGTTCTAATGTAGAAACATATATGTATGTAATGTTGCATGTTGCCAAGGTACTTATAAATAAAATTATGATAGTGATAGCAGACCAGACTGAAACTAGGACATAGGTTGATTAACCGTACATGTTATTTTAAATTACAATATGTTCCGCGTTGTTGAACTACTCCAGTCCTCGGGGGTCTATTAATTTATGACAGAATAGTAATTTACACTCCAGATATGTTGCGTTCTACTTATAATTGTTGCAAAATAGATATATTATACTTATGCATAAGTGAAGTTCGATTAAAATCTGATTTTAGTTCTGTACCCTATAACTTGTAAATTGAATAAATTAAATTCCACTAATATTAAATAAAACCGGTAAAGTGCGAACAGACTCTCACAACGATAATTTTCATTTATACAAGGTATTAATGTGAGTAGATATAAGATAAAATTTGGTGATTTTATAGTACATTTACGGTTATTTTTATAAAACAAAGATGCAAGTAAGATCATCTTTTTATTTCACAACTCTATGCCTTTAATTGAATTCGAATTAACCTCCGCTAGAAATTTCCCTTTGGACAGACATTTCACAGAGTTTAGGTTGAGAAATTATCAATAGTTAAGTGGCATTAAAAATAAAAACACGATGAAAATATAAATAAATAAATACATTATTGAATGTCGACAAACAGTTCAATGTAAAATGTAAAAACAAGATTTGTAAAATGTAAGATTAAGATTTAAGATTAATTTCTATTGCATAATTACTCAACAAAATACTGCGTTATATAACATTACGTTATATTTAGTTGATATTAGTGATGTAGTAAAACACTGATAAATCATTTAATTACTCCTTGCTTCACTGTAATTGGTATGTTTGAAAACCGGCATTTATAATAAACTTAATATATAATTCTTTAACTCATTGTGTATGTTCTTATATAAATGTAATTTTATTCATTACATTACGATTGTTTTTACCTATGAGCAGATAATTGTTTTACAAACAATTCAAATATCAACACAAAAAACTCTGTAATAAATTCCAACTAATTCTTTAGTGTCAATAAACCAAGTGACAGTGGTAGGCTCGTACCCTGTTACAATGTAATAAAAATGCTCGAAAAAGAGTATGATGAGTATTGCCTTCATCACAATGGTGTCTGATACTCGATAAATTTAGTGAGCATGTTTATTCTATTTTATCCGGGCATAGTTGGATGAAGTTACATAGTTTAAACTTTATTTAAGTACACTGTAAAAAAGTTTTATGCACTAAAATCATGGCAATAAATTGCTATGATACTCATATAAATTTATCGACGTATATTTTTATGATGTCTTTTAGTCTGACCTCCTTCTTTGACTTCAAAGTCTCTGTCATATTTCATTCAAGCAGGCCCAATGATTTCTTTGTGCAAATAAACTCATTTTCGTATTTATATCTATTGATATTCAAATAAAATAATGCACGTAAAATGTATTGCCTGCTTTTTTGTAACACATTGAATTCTACATGCGTCTACTCGTGCCCAAGGCTGGTGTAACTGAGAAAGTGTGAGCTTGAAACTAAACGATCATTTACAGTGCGGTTTCAAAGGAATTTTCTCCCGCGAACGCTTAGGCTGTGGAATGCCGAGCTTTTCCCTAGAGACTACAGTATGAAGTTCTTCAAAAAGGCAATATTAAGATTTCTTCAGGGTTGGCAACGCGCGCGTGACTCCCCTAGTGTTGCAGGCGTCCATAGGCTATAGTATCTGTTTGCCATCAGACGGGCTATATGCTTGTTTGCTACCTTTGTGGTATAAAAAAATCTGGTCGAAACGTCGAGATAATTGAGCGAAATGATCGGGTTAATTCCCGTTTTTTATAGACGATAAAACATTAAATCCTAGACGATTAGTATGATTGTGTGGTATTTAAAATTAAAAAAGAAAATATGTGTATTGTTTCAGGGCTCTCATCCGGACAGTCTCTACAGAGTACCTGTAGACAGTGGAACGGGTGGAGGCAAAATGACCCGCGCCTTCAGAGTACTCAGGTGGCCTGTCGCCCTCATCGTTGTGTGCGTCGCACTAGCTGTCTTCGTCTACTTCCTTATGCCTGGTAAGTATTAGTAATTTATAATAACATAAATTTAGGAAATCCAAACCCTGAGTAGATATATCAATAAACTCTTTATTTGCATGTACAGTAGAATCTCAATTATCTAACTTCACGACTCTAATTACCGATTTAGAAACGGTATTTTGTAAAGTGGGTAAATAAGTATTATGCAATCCACTACCTTTATAGCTCATAATTTTTTTATAACGTATTGTACTTTTATGTAATAAAAAAATATTAAAATTTAAATAATGTTTTTTGAACTTTGAAATCGATTATCTGGATTTTTGATTACCTATGTGAAAAACCCATGGTTTTATTTGATTCTGATAATCGAGATTCTACTGTACACATGAATATCACGTCATTAATATTAGACAATACATAAAAGCAATACGTTGATACTATTGAGTAACTGACAGAACAAATGATGTCTTGTCAGAATAGCAAAAATATTTTTTGTTATCCTACAACTTTATTTGAACTATTACGAACATAAAAAAAATATCTGAAATTAGTCCAATCGTTCTTCAATATGTAAGTTTTGTAATAATAATCAGCTAATCACAATTAAAAATAATTACTTCTACCCAGTATTCTCATACTTTTCGCACGTCTATTAGGTCATTAGACGTAGCAAAATTGATACGTGGGAAAAAAGTTTTGGGTAATTTGCTTTTTAATCCTACTGTGTTGCATTCAAAGCATTAAGATGCAAAAATGACGAAATAAATACTAGATGTTTATCGAACATAAATCACGTCATATCCATTGTGTAATATAAAATAAAATACCTACTAAGTTTTTATTACGACTAAACATTCAATTTAATACCTAATTTATATGTCTAGTGGCCTTATCTTCCATTATATTTCCCAAGTGTTTCTCAGTAAATAATATAATAACTAAAGTGAATACCTGTTAAATTGACATTGCTAATCTGTAGATACATAGGAACATTATAGCTGTTGAAAAGATCTATCATTATCATCGATCTTATCAGTATTAAACTACTGTAAAACGTTTAGTTCACGTAATATTTATCGTAGCAAATATCTTGTTTTGAGGGTTATTTTTTTACTATATTTGATGGGGACCTTTCTATACCTTTCACTACTTTTCCCAATTCCAAACTATTGTTAATTCAACTTCTCTTTTTTTACCTTTCCTACAGTGCTTAAAGTGCTTTGTCATTTTATTTCTGTTTATTTTGAACATGTACATTACTATTGTATAGCTTTTAAAATCATTTAATTGCCGCCTAATATTGAATGTGAAAGTTTATATAGATGTAATCACGTTGAAGGGACTAAAAAGATTTGATGGACCATATGTACATTGTAAATTTATATATAGGACAATCTTTTATATGTTTGCCACTATTGCCCTCAAACGCTTTCTGTTTTTACCTAATACTTGATAGAGAATCCCATACGGCATTAAGCTTGCCATTTGTATAAATTTTATTGTACAATAAAGAATAAATAAATAAATAATTTTAAATCCAAATGCACTACTATAACTAATTTTGACATACACGTTCGTAAGCATAATACCGTTGCTTTAAAATAAAGAAACAAATAATTGTAGAAAAACCTTGTCAAGACGTCACGGCATGCTTAATAAATCATCATCATTTTTCCCCTTTACCTGCGTTTAAATTGATTTAAAATAAACAAATTATACAAACTGGAAATTACTCAGTTCTTAACATCTTCATAAAATTTTTAATAAAATATTTCTGGCCATTATATTCTGCTATTATTTTCTATCACTTTAAAATTAGGTAAATGCTTTTTGCTGCACAGTAGCGTCTGTATACGACTTGCTCTATCTATTTCTAATGTTACCTAATTACTATTTATAGATGTTCCATTACATCATTATAAATTTTATAGTAAATAATATGTATAATACCCGCTAGATTGCAGTTTTAAATTTAAATATCCATAAAAACAAGTTGACAGAAATAGTTAAGTCAAAGTTCAATCAGACTATTTGAGTAGGTCGTGCCGAAAGCGGTACATATAAAATGTATTACAAATATTTACGCCATTATATTCTAATTAAGATTCTATTATTGTTTTTTATCAGTTTAAAAATTTGGTAAATGGTTTCCACTGTAAAATAGCGTCAGTGAATAATTTGCTCCATATTCTTTACCTAGTATAGGTATAGGTACCTTGTTTCAATAGTATTTAATAAAAAAGTGGACATGTTTTGTTGAAATTACCACAGTGATACTCTCTAAACGAAATTAATAACAAATGGAAAGAGAATATCTCATAGTTCAACATTTAGTTTGTTTACATTTTCAATAAGTTCTACTAATACAGACTATAATTACTATTCATAGATTTTGGATTAAGTAATTACATATTTTCGAGATGTGTAATACATGGCAGATTGCAGTTTTAAATTTGAATATCCATAAATACAAGTTGACAGAACTAGTTAAGTCAAAGTTCAATCAGTTTGAGTAAGTTGTGTCGAAAGTGGTACATATTAGTTATGCTAAGATGACGAGGTGCGTACAGTTACGCGCTGTTTTGGCAGACGGTGAGATGCTGTTTATGTTGCGAGGCCGTACACCACCGGCACGCGCGGTGTCAAAGGTGAAGTTTCTACGTAACACCTATAAAAAGTGTTGTGGGACCCATGAATGTTAACAAGCAAAACGTTACGATATAAAGTGAAACATTGATAACATATTTGTATGAAGACATAGGTAGGTGTGTGGGCACCAACAACTCAATAAGTAATAGTGTATTAAAATACTCATCTCATTTAAATTAAATCCTAATCACATATAATAAATTTTATGAATGAAATCTTCTTTGTAACTTAATTATACTTAGGTAATAAACATTTATAACAACGCAGTAAATCTTACAATCAGATAAGTAGGTATTAAGTAGAACAGTACTTTTCTTTAATACCTATTATTATTATTATTATTACCAGTAGATATTGTTAAATGAAAATGTATGTTATTTTAATTTGTTGGTACTCCAATCATTGCACAAAAACATAATAAGTATAATTAAAGTAACAAAAAATACAATTGCTTAACAAAAATATGAAAAATACAATTTTTTTTATAGCAAAATTGATTTGATCTTTAAATCTATTTTTGTTTTGTTTGTTTTAAGAAGCGATTATAATCCAACTAGAAGATACCTATGTCTTCTTCAAACTATAAGTAGGAGTCCATCTCAGTCAACGCACGTCCATTTACTATGTTTAACATTTTCCGCATACAGTTTCTTTTAGCCATCTCCACTAAATTATCGTACCTTTATTTTATAAGTTTTAATACTTGTTAATTAAGCCAAATTTGCATATCGAAAGTTTGTAAGGTAAATTACATGCGTTTAATATTCAGCAATTGTCGATTGGCCTCGTAAACGAAACCCTGTACGGATCATAAAATACTTTAAAACGATTACAACAATACTTTTCGCGTGCAAATCTTTTAATACATGCATGATCCTTTCGCGAAACTTTTGATCTCTTCATAAATATTCCACTTTCACATGTTGCACGCAAAGGGATTTTTATTGTCATATATTATTGCTTGAACCAAAATCACTTGAGGTAAATTCGTACTGCATTTTAGTATAGTGGACAATAAACGTGCGTGAGCGTATCCGGATACATCGCGCTCGTATGTCTGTTAGTCGATTTGAAACTGTATTTTTACTTACAAAGGATACGTAAAAAACGAAAGTTGCCCTGCTCACGCCGTTATGTCTCTGTATGTTCACGCCAACTATGCACAATATCTGCATTTTTTTATTACACACGGTTGTTGATCTCACAAAACTTTCTCATGACTATTTTTAGCCTGGTCAATATGTGGAGAAGTGAGGTCCCTATTCATATTTTGATGCTATTCAACAAACGATATATATTTGGAAGTATCTACTTACGTTTTATGATCAATGATGATGTGAATTTGAATCGTGCTTATATATATATTATTATACCGGAACATAACTGAGTTAATGGGCAAAGAATGGGCAGTAGCGCCCTTTTCAAACATCACTAAAAGCCTAACTGTCAACTCGCCTGCCAAACGTGGCAACTACTGACAAAACTCCCATTCTGGGGAAGACTTATGTTCAGCAGTGGACAGTTAAGGGCTGATATGATGATGAATGAGTTAATACTAGGAAGTAACAAGGATACTTTGTATCTGTGATATGTTTACCAGTTTTGCACAGATTACAATTATTCTTACAGAGAGGAAAAGGATTGTTAGTAATGGAGACTGAGAATCGATCGATCGGTCGACCTCCTCGCGGTTCTCCCTGGAAACTATCATGGTTAATTCCTGATGAATTTATCATGATGGGCTAACTGACTTGTTTTCATTCTCATCTATCACCCTTCACTGATGCTCCGCCAGCGTATCCCGTTAGCGCAGACGGGGTTACCATACCATTTTCACCCATCAAAAAAAAAATATTCTTACAATAAGGTTTACTTTCGTATTGATCTCATACTAATTTTGTCACATTTGAGAGGAATGATTTCAAAATGTTTATCTTCACCAAAGAAGGTTCCCCTTTTTATTTAGTGATGTATGTACCCAACATCTGAACTCCTTGTTTTTGTCGCCTAATATAGTTTTGCTTGCATTCCCGTATTTAGGTACGGTATAATAACTGGTGGTCTACCATGAAATTCCGAATTTTCGGGCTCAATTTCGTGTTTTTGTTTGTATCAAAATCGACGCTGTAAATGGAGCTTAACGTTTCGTTTGTCATAAATCCTACCATAAAAGTTCAAAGGAACGATATTTTAACATTTTTAATATTTTAAAACGGTACGTATCATGTAATTTTAGCATCAAATTTTTGTTTCGTTCGGATCCGAAATTTCGGAAAACATTTCATGGTAGGCCCTCTGATTATTAAGGCATAGTTCTCAAGTTTTTATGAATAACAACGCATGAGGGTTCACATATCTTAGTGTATTACGAGTATCTATGTGTACCCATCATGCTATTTGTCTATAGGCAACGGTCTATATATACTTATTTTTAGTTTCTTTTAATTAATAAAAATTTTAAAACCCTCATAAAACTATTTTAACTAAAGAACTGTTCTGTCTCTTGTTTTTGTGCTAAATTCCTAATAAATAGTAATAAAGAAAGTGACAAAACAGTGTAATAGGTAAAGTAGGTTTGTAGAAGGTTTTAGTTTTTATGAATAATACAAATCTATAAAGTTATCATCAACGTAATAAAATGTCCATAAACTTATAAGTTATTGAATACGAGCGCAACCGACACTCAAGAACATGTTTTTTTTATTTTATAAATATCTACCTCAACTTTTAGCACACAGAATATACATTTTTATATATTTAATTTTAAAATTTTATCTAAAAAAGAACCCGGATCAACACAAATAATAAATTCAGACAAAAGGATAATAATACTGTTCTAACTTTATTTTAAATTATTATTTAAATATAGACTGTCAACGTACTCGCAGTCACAGTTTATACATAATTGGGATAATTAAAAAAAGATAAGTGTCACAATAAAATATGGAAGTGAAAAGAAAAAATCTAAATCTTTTTTAAATAAGTCTCAACTCTAATATACTCATAGCCGTAGATCGTACCATAAGTTACCAAACTAACAGTGAGAATTTAAATATGCCACGCAATTGCACTAAAGGCCCAAAGCCCTCAAATTAGCTTATTACAGACGAGGCAAGAAACGTCGTCATGTACGTCATTTAGAACTTATATTTAAACTTCTTCAAAATAATATCAAGTTACATGATAGGTTTTGCATTTATTTTGAATGTGCTATTTTCTTATTTTAAAGCCATATAATCTGTTATGTGATGTCGTATGAACATTCCTCGAAATCCATCGAGTAAGTGTAATTATATTCCTGTGAGTACTTAAAATAAATACACGTATGGCTTTTTTTAATAATGGCTAACTTAGTGAATTGACCTCGCTAATTAATTTCAATTTAGAATCAAATCAAAATTAAACAATTATAATAATGCAATAAGAATTCGATTTCGACAAAAGCTATCTCGATTTTAATTAATAAATGTAATAGTAATAATTTGACGCCAAATAATTAAAATTTAGCGGGTCCTACCACAAAACACTTTGTTACTAAATAGACTCCATTAGGAATCTGTGACTTAAGTACCTTACATTAAACTACTTGCATGGAGTCATTTACCTGTAAATTGCATGTTTAATAACACGAAAACGTTTAATCGGCTCTCCCGGCGATATCGGTTTATAAAATTGCTTATCATGTATGTAGAATACGTATTTGTAGGTGTATTTGAACGAACCACACAAATTACGCAACAACTAATTAACATTAATTATCTAGAAGCAGGATGTCAGTCAGAAAGTTCTAGCTAAATTACATCCCGTGCAATCACATTTCTAAGAAATTATTCGTCATTAAACATAATAATGAGACCACAGAATATCTATATTACCCAATTAATTTCGAAAATAATTTTCGGAATCGAGTGATTAATATAGAAGGTCGGTATGAGAAAACATCATAAACTTTTATAAAAGTTTTTTTTTTTTTAATGAAGATGCATTTCACCAAGAGGAATAGGTACATACAGTAATAAACTAAAACATTAAATAGAATAAAAAATATTTTAAGTTTTGATTAACAAAATTTCAATTTAAAAAAGGAATTGAATAAATAAAAAAGTAAAGTAAGAAAGAGGTATGTATAATTGTATATATTTACAGACAAATAGATATATGATACCTAGATCTAAAATCAAATAATATAACAAAACTTATAATTGATTGGTAACATCGTAAGAAAGAAGTCTGCATTTTGTAGCATAAAATTTTAATAATTTGTAGTCAATAAATATATACCTACACTAATTACTGTTTACATTTTTTTTTATACAACTTAGAATGGCAAACAAGCTGACGGCTCACCTGATGGAGTGGTAACCTTCGCCTATAGACATGAGCAGTACCATGGACATAACAGAGTATACTGTTTCGCCCATGATACCCCCCATGCGTTGCCATTCCTGAGGAGTCAGGTGTTATTTCTCTGTACCCAGTAAATTCACGCCATATCCCACCCTTCAAACCGAAACACAGCCATGCAAACACAGCTGCTTCACGGTTGAAACACGAATGGGACAGAGGTACCCAAGCAATCGACTTTTGTACAAAGTCTCCCTCTGGTGGTCCCATTGTTGTTACCTACTAATTCACAAGTAAATGCATATATAGAACAATGATCCAAATATAACAATATCCAAACAAGGAACATCTGATCTTTTACAAAATTTTGACTTCAAGTTCAAGTTGGGGGTTCTGATAATTCGGACCATTTTTTGTAGATACTCTCTTCTGTATTACTTTTAAACTGAGCTGTAGACAAATAGAATGCACAATATTTATATGCCTATGTATTTAGTACCCATTGAATTTGAATAAATAATAGTACTTACTTAAATAACAATGAATAATAATAGAGCACCAATCTATTATTATGCGTTGGTGTCTACATAATTAGAACGTGTTTGTCAGTATATACCTATAAATATAGGAATACTTACCTAACTATATATTAAGGTATTGAGTTACCTAACAGAAAGGATTAATAGACCTCCAGATGATGCGAAGCGGCAGACGCGCATGACATCTTGAACTCAACTTTCACCAATTTTGCTTCTTATCTTCGCTTTCAAGAATAGGAACTCGAATAATAGGTGCTCACTCCTGAGTTACGACATTACATACATATACAGTTCAATCAAGAGATGCTCGTACTGAGCCCAAGTGTTTCAAAGCAAAACATATCTATTACATTTATTTAAACCTTAGAAAGGTAATGTCTTTTTTATACTATATACTGCATGGGAGTGACTGATTGCTCACCTCATTAGTGGGGTTACCACTTTCCATTGAAAGTGTCAAGCATCGTCTATAGATTTGAATAATACCATGGACATCACAAAATATATGTGCCGCTCATAAACAAACCTCATACGTCATCACGCCACGTAACTATTACCTATTGTTATGGAAATAAAAATTATAGTTATTGTCTTTTGTGTTGATTTTATTTTTTATTTTTATTAGGAATGTTTTATTAAACGAGTAGGTGCACATATAAAAATATAGTATTCCATAAAAGGTCTGAAATTAATACAAACAAACAGTACATACATACCAACTATATTTACTTAAAAGAAAAATACGTTGCACTTGACCAATAGTGCAAATGCAAAAATATAATCTTTAAAAACACTTTTATTATTTTATTTACATGCATATTGACTAAAAAGCATTTGAAGTTCATAATACGAATAAACAGAATAGATAAAAGTGTACCTACGTGACTATGGAACCTTCAATCTTAAAGTCCTTTAAAAGTTTCTTACGCTAAGCTCGGCACTGATACTATATTATCCTGACTGATCTATCATGTTTGTATCTCAATTTTCTGATTAAATAATAAAAAATAAAGTATCTGCTACCTATCTACCTAAGTATTGAGTTGATGTATAATAAATAGTTATAGAAATATTTTCTCTCTATAAGTCTAATAATACATTTTTTAAATTGAAACACATCTAAAATAATCAAACTTTATAAAATTGCAGATTCAATGGATCCAGATATGAACATGATCAATGGAACGTACTGGGAACCAATCGTGGGGCAGGCGTTGAAGGAAAGGAAAACAGACAAATCAGAACATAAACCTCCCGAACTCACACATAGTAGTACGAAGAAGAAAGAAAATACAGTAAAACATGGTATTGTTCTTTCGTATATTTCTAAATCCCTTATCCTAGGAATGTGGTAACTATAAATTTCCACGGTTTGTTATTCTATGTTCACTAGCCACTTATATTGTGCACATACTCATTGTCCGACAATATTTTAAAATCCATAAAATGGGTTCCATTATTTAAATATAAAAGGAAGTATAAAGCTACTGTTAATATTGTGTCGTTATGCACATAGCACTATGTTAATTCAGGTAGATAATTTAATTTATCAAACGTGAACTATATCTATCAAAACTATTTAATTTAATGACAAATTTTTTATTTGAACTCATTTATTTTAAAATATCGTAAATATCGTAGTATCGTACGTTTAAGTAGTTCAGATACATAAATCAGATAGAATCATAGAAAATTTAATATACTGTACTGATACTCCTAGAATATTATATTTACTTTGACTAGATTTTCTATATATTGACTTTATGTAAAATATAATAACGAAAAACAACAATATTCAACGAGAGAATTCAATGTATCCCTTTGTAATAAGATCGGTTTCTTAATATGTAGTATTGTTTATTCATTACTGTACCAGAAATAAATATAATTTTATAGATACATTGTGAGGTCAACAAAACCATTTGTTTGATAAACAAAATATAATTTATAACTACAAATAGCAACAATTAATTTTAATAACGATCAAAGGCTCGATATTTAAATCGCGAATACCTAAAACGATAATAAAACACAACAAGTAGTACCTATAAATATTCAACGACTGAAAATAAATAATACATCAGGTCATATCGAGTAAACCTATAATTTAACATTTTTGATAGGTTGCATCTGAAAGATAAGGTATGAGTTCAAGAGTTAAAAACGATACTTATTGTGACAAAATAAAATGTTTCGAATTTAAGGCCTGCAAAATTTCAATGTAATGCATCACATAAAACACTTCACTGTTTGTTTAGTGACATGTACCTACACTTAAATACCTCACCTTAACAATATGTGTTCTAAATACGATAATTACAGGTACAAGACCATCGGAAATCGATTTCTACGACACTGAAACCAATAACGACGATTTAACATCTATTATAGACACAAACACGATGCCAGTTCCGACAAGAAAATTACCTATTCCTCCAGTATTTCCGAGTCACATAACGCCCGAGGTACAGTACGGCAACGAAAGGGCAGATACTGAAAAATTGAGAACAGCAAAATTATTAGAAGAAACAAATACGCTGCCAGAGGACTCTACTCTCAAACCCCATATTACACAAAAACCTGAGAAACCTTTGGCTATTTATTTTAAAGAAGGAACAGCAGCAACAAGTGCTAGCACAGAAACAATATTTAAAGCAGAAACCATTAATGATTTCTCCAATTATGGAGAAAAATATTCAACAAAAACTAATGAATCGCCTGTAAAACCTTATGTACCATTTTATAAAGAACCGTTAATTGTTAGAGTACCAGAATATGGGGAACAACATAATATGGGGAATACACATCAACAATATGTTAAAGAACCTGAAATTCCGATAGAAGTTCAAGAAGTCTACAGTCATCAACCAATGAATTTGGACGTCAATTTCACATCAGGTCATTCTAAACTTTTTGGTATCTCTATTGAAGACGCGGAAAAAATGAAATCTACTACACAGAGTTCTCTTTACAATACAAGGGTGTCACCCACTCTCCCCACGTGGCGAGATAAAGATGATATCACGACAAAGAAATATCCAATAAATGTTATCGCTGATGGTAAGCTACGGACTTTATTATTTATTTAATAGGGAGCATGCGGATTTTGAGGTCAGTTTTTGTTGTTTAAACTAATCACACACGTTCATCAAAGGATTTACACCTGTTGCACATGCACCATATTAATTATATTTAATTATAGCCTTCAATATATTATTCTAAGTATTTATATCATATTATATAAGTTAGATACCCAACATTATTTCTTTAATTTATACTGTTGCCAATGAAGTAAGATGCTTATTTTTCATCAAATTTAATAACCATCTCGTCATAATCTTATAATAACTTTAAATTAACATCAAAATGATACCTTCAATAAATTATGTATGTATAACTAATTAGTTTTTTTTAGTAGCTCAATGTCGTTCCACTCGGCTGGCGTTGTGTCGCGGTGTGCTACCTTACGACTTGGCTGGTGTGGCTCTAAGCTTCAACGGAGTGGAGATAACAACGTTAATGGAGCAGATAGAGTACCTGGTGGCTACGAATTGTAGCGACCGCGTGAAGCAATTCGCGTGTGCCTTACTCGAGCCAGAGTGTAACCCACCACCTTATCCCGCTAAGATGCCTTGCTACAATTTATGTAAAGGTCTGTAAATTTAACATCAATACAACCTGTGTACATGCTGTGTGGTACCGGCATAGAATAGGCCACCCTATCTTTTCCAGTATGTGTTGTAAAAAGCGACTAAGGGAGGACAAGGGATGGGCAGTAGCGTTCCTCTTAAAGTATCTCCGAAGCCTAAATGCAGTTGCCGATCCGGCTGCCAAGCATGGCTTATGTTCAGCAGTGGACAGTTAAAAGCTGATATGATGATGATATCTCTGATGAACCAATTTCTTCCAATTTCTCTGACAATCTGTAAATTATTCAAATTATCCAAATTATCTCAATAAAATATAAATTTTTACAATGTCTAGTGTTACATTTATCATACCACTAACAGTCAAATGTCTTTATCCCATTGACATTACAAATGTTCATGAACTTTTTTTTTTATATTCCTACATTCTTTACAATTGTTTTACATTATAATAAAATAAAAAAAAAAATAATAATTTCAGCAATTGTTGACAACTGTGACGGACAAATTCCTAGCGACTTAGTTGCTGCGTTTAACTGCAATCAATATTCAACAAATAACTGCGTGGCTGCAAAATCCCCTTGCTTTCCTCGTGAGTTTAGCTGCGGAGATGGTACATGCGTGCCAAGGGATTGGATCTGCGATGGCACTGCAGACTGTCCTTCTGGAGACGACGAAGCTAGATGTGTCGTGTGTGACGCTAATGAATTCCGGTAATCTAAAAGTTATGCTATTAGGCTGTATTTGGAAAACAATATTATTAAGATCTCCAAAAAGGAGTAAAGTACAATGAAACACATAAAACATACTTAATATTTTATCACAAAAAACTGAATCAATATTTGATAAATCTAAAAACTAATCTAATAAAAGAACATGTAAATTTTGTTATTAATGAAACGATTTACTTTGCATATTTATCTATAGCATAATACATAAAAAATGTAATCGAATTTAAAGCCAAAATTAACATCATAATGTTCGAATTTCAGTAATCTTAATCTTGCATATGTGCTTGAATAGAAGCACCAAGTGCGGTTATTGAAAAAAAAACCTGAACTGAGAAAAAATTAGAATATGTACTTATATCTTATATGTATATAAAATTCTCGTATTACCAAATGTTACCAAACTCCTCCGAAACGGCTTTACCGATTTTTATGAAATTTTGTGTGCATATTGGGTAGGTCTGAAAATCGGCCAACATCTATTTTTCATACCCCTAAATGATAAGGGTGACCCTCCCCAAAAAAATTTTTTTTTAGTTTTTGACATATTTTTCCATTTTTATTTTATTATGATTTAGCATTGAAAAATACATACAAATTCAAATTTTCACGCTTTTACTATCAACCCCTGTTTTTTAATCGCAATTTTTATATGCCGCAATAGGGTTGAAAGATGGCAATCGAATATAATAATTGAAGTACGATATATTTTCATGTATAGTTCTAGAAATAATGTATATGGTAAAACAACGTCTGTCGAGTCAGCTAGTTACTTTATAGAAGACAGTCTCTTGAATTAATTATATAAACTTGTTGATTAGAAATTAGTGCGTTTTAATTACACATTTCGACGGGTATACATTTGCGCAAATTTGTATATTAAACTTTGTTTGCCTTACAATGATTTGTAGGAGTTATTATACCAAAAAGACCTATTTATATCGAAATTCTAATTAATATGTAATTAGAAAAAATACATTTCAGTTGTCGCTCGGGAGGTTGCATCCTTAAACGTTGGTTATGTGATGGCTATGCGGACTGTCCAAACGGAGAGGATGAGGCAGAAGACGTGTGTGAATCACGTGGAGGGCGTGCGGAACTGGGCGAGGAGTCAGCAGGATCAGCGCCTGCACCCGCTGTTCATAAACCATATAGACTACCTTCCCAGGGTAGCGGATTACATAGAACAGGTAACTTGTAATACATATCGAAAATAATAGAAAGACGTCTAACAATTAGGATCTAAGTTGCTGCTCAACTGAGTTTGAATTATTTTAATATAAAAATACCCGGCTTGATTTACGTGTATTTTAGTCGGGAACGCTCTACTAGTTTCGGAAGCATCCGGGATCTTATATTATGAGTGGACGTGCCTCGAGCGCGAGCATGACTGCACTAGTCTAATATTCTCGACTAAAATACACGTAAGTCAATCCGAATTTTCTTACACTAAAATGTAATGTGAACTTACGAAACTTTAACAATAAAATTTTAAATTATTTTTCATGAAGTAGTAACCGCCACTTATGACAAATATCATGTGTTATTGTTATAAAACATACAACACCACTCATAGTATTCACATAATATTATTGCTACCAAGGACTATGTTGATAAATCTCTTGAGTCAAAATTTTCATAGACATTAAATTCAGATCAATGTAATTGGGAATATAATAAGTATAGTCTATACTATTCCTATGAATCTCACCAAAAAATATGTTAATGTACATAGGTAGTCATATTTACAACAACAGACATTGTACTATTATGCGTATATACCAATAAATGTTATAGGTGAAAACGACAGCAGCAAAGAACTGCTCGTCACCAGTGATAGCACCAACGCTTTGAAAAGGAACTTCACTAGGCGTCCACTGCCCTCACGCTTAACACCATACACTCGCCCCGGACTTCGGTCACCATCTCAGAACAAGCCTATTGAAGAGAACGTAAAATCACCAGCACTAAAGAAAATTAATAATTCTGAAAAATCTAATAACGCAGAGAAACTTAAATCTAAAGCCGAAACAGAGACCCTGGAGTCAGAAGAAGATGTGAATGTAGATGACTTGTTTGTAGAGTTTGAGAAAGAGCCGAAATATACTAGTAATAAGAAATTATTTGATAAGACTCCACTCAACATACAAAAAGGAATTCTTCGTGGTGCACCACCGCCACCTGATGAGGAGCACACAGTGGTTACACGAGTTGATAAATCGATCAATAAGATGTCAAAGGTCAGTTAGTTTTTTGTATTATTTTATTATCAGACAAAACTATTAATTACAAATTAACTTACGAGTTACATTCACAAAATCACGTAGATTTATTCTGCTTTTTCAACACTACCATTTGTACAGTTACATTTATTTATTGTTTTTTTTTTAATTATGTACCTATATTGTAGACGTATATAAAGCGGTGCTAGGTGAGCCGTGCCTACCCCAGGAAGCGAGCTTCGCAAAGACATAATTGAAAGTACATATGCTCTTTTTTTATGAGGCCATGCTCCCTTCAAAACAACCTTAATACGACCATGATTTTTTGTTTGTGTTTTATTTTTTGTCTGTTTCGTAGATTTCAAATATTTTAAAAAACATTTTTTTTTTAATGAACTATTCTAATATTTGTAACAATAGAATAGCATAGAACAAACATCTGTACCAACCATATTCCATTATAATTGGCAAATCTTTTAGAAATTCGATATATAAAAATATATTAGAACATATCAAAAGCAATGTTAAAGAATTCTAAAAGTAAAAATAAATTTAGGTAATTCTTTTCCTAAATAAATGTCAATATTTTATTTGATCGACAAAGAACATTTTAAATACTAAACTTATTATAGAACATACCTGATTTATACAGAATGCACCTCAAGACAATACACCTGTGCAACCAGAAGGACCTTTAACAACATCCACTCGCCTTGACAAGTCTCTTAATAAATTAGAAAGAGTAATCAATGGCGCTACGATGTTGCGGGTTAGTTTTCGATGTTTTTTTTTTAATAATATTATTACAACTGCTGGAACGCTCACAGTTTAAACTTCTTAATTTATCAAATTCATTTAAAAATTAAACATTTAACAGCTATTGTTATTGAAATTACAGAATGTATTAAATAATTTTTAGGGGTAGAATCGACCACGTCTCCTAAATAAAATTTAAACAGGTATAAAAAAACACGAAAGATATTTAGAAATTGATAATATTTATCTCTGTATTCAGTAATCCTTTAAAAAACCACTTAGGAACTTGGCAAAATACCGATACTACAATATAAGTTGTTGTAGAACTTACGTTAAGTTAGAATCATAAAATCGAAACCCCTTGATTAAACATTTATCTATAATTTTCTAATAATATACTCTACATATAATAATTTTCGGTTAGGTAAAATGGAAAGCTATAATTTTTACTGTTTGATCCTATTTTTAACCACTTTAATAAAAAATGTTTAGGTTCACTGGCACAACACTTCCCTAAAAAGATTGCAACCTGTAGATATATCTTTTATAAAAAAAATTACGTACATATTTGCAGAAAGCAACACAAGAAGAAATGGGCGAATCCGTCGAAAGAAATAGCACCGCCGTAAACAAAAGCGAGGAAGAACTCCCTGGAGAGAACAATCCCGGCTCTATGAGTGCGCACGCGTCGCCGTGCCCCAGCGGCGAGCTGCGGTGCGTTGACGGCAGGTGCATTACTCTCGCCCAGCTCTGCGACGGCACTATCGACTGCTCGGACCACGCCGACGAGGACAATTGCTACACGTGAACAGATCATGATGCAACGTCGACATCTCAGCCTACTTACCATGAAAATTATTCCAAAGTTTCAAAGTCGAGCGAAATTTGAAAAAATTAAAGAAGAATACAAAATATATATTATTAAAGATAACATCATATATAGGTTTTCATTGAGATTTTCATATATCTTTCTAGCGACCTGTCTCAGCTTTGTACGGGTAGATAATTGCAATTATTTTAGGAATCCTATTTTTTTTTTATAAAGGAAATATATGGAAAGAAATGTTATGGTTAAAATAAAACGGTACAGTCATTTAACATACATGCTTTATGGTAGGGTTTGTGTCAAAAAACATTGCACCATTATCTGTCTACAATCTCGATTTTGATATATACCTACGTGTGTACACGAAATTCGGGTTTGAAACTCCGGAATTAGCTTTTATGGTAGACCCATAGGTTTCATCCATTTGATGTAATAATGGAGTTTATAAATGTACTACAAATACATTTTAAATTTACTAAGTATCCAAAGTGAAAACGACTGTAGAATATTAAATTTTTAGTTGTTTGTTTTTTTTTTTTTCTATCAGTAATTTACATGGGTACTTTTATAAAAGAAATGATGCAGCGTCTAAAGAGTATAGAAATACATATCGTGCGGATGCATGACTTGTTAATTTTTTTTTAGATCAGAGTAGATGATCACTAAAAAAAATAATCGCAAAATTAGAAGTTTTGCCCCGAATTGTAACGTGATTATTTTGTAATTGAAGATACAATAACAAAATAATCAACAAACACCACAAGTCTCGTTACTAGCGCCATCTAGTATTTCGTCCAATTTAGTTTAATGACCAACCACAAATTCTTTTTACTCAATATCTTCGATTGTTTGTAGTACATTTTAAACTGTATATATAATATGTATCTTAGACTGCTAGTTAGCCTACTCCTGTAACGAATTACAGTTCTTTATTATACGAACTACATTTATTGACATTTATTCTGTAGTGTATGTAATTGATTTAATACTTACTATTTATATTGATAAAAATCAATTATATCACTATATTTTATACTTACTACTAAGTATACTTATAAATAATATGTTTATATACTAAACCTACATTGGGGATAAATTAAAAATATATCAAGAAAAATGTTATGGAAACTGTAGTTGTGTAATATCTACCTATATGTAGAAATATAATTGTATCTCAGTTCTTTTATGTCGAAACTGGTGCTAAGTATATTTATGTTGAAATGCCTATGTAATGTTGATATTTTATACACTGTGATAAAGCAATGCATGTTTTTTTTACAAAAAGTTTATCATAATTCTATTAAGTACTCGTATGTACTCTTTAAGATTTTATTAGATCTAATTATTGATCCCGTCCTTATTGTACCTACCTTAATTTTAAAATTATGAAAGATAAAGCTAATATTTTAAAATAATCATGTTGTATATGTAACTTAAGTATTATGATATAACTATATAAATCTATTACATTTTTGCTATACTTCGAGAATATTTTATGAAAATTTGAATGGAAATCGATTATCAGAGGATTCACTTAAATAACATTAAATCGATTGTTAATACCTCCATATCATATTATATAATATTTTATACTCAGAACAATATCAAAACTGTACGTACGTATATTCTTTTACATATTAGTTACCTATAAACTGTATTATAAAATTATGTAACACTGTATTACTAAATTTATACATTTTTATTAACTGTAGTAACAGTAATAACTGTATTTAGCTAACTCGAATCAAAACCATATAAATCATGTATTCACTTTGTAATACGCATTTGTAAATATAAAGCATATCAAATTATTTATAATTAAGCATAAGTATCATTATTTATAATTAGTCATGTAGGTCGCTCACATCCCTCTTAAAACTAATATTTCGCACACAGAAAAACATTACATACCTACTCAAGAAAATGTAAAATATTTAGAAAATAAATAGTATTGATCATTTTCATCTAAATAGAGATTTCAAATATACAGCCTAGCAAATTACCGGCACAAGTCGATTTTTTATATTAAATATTCAATCGGCAAAATACCCTAATATCGGGGTGAATACCGCTAAAAGAAAAAAAATCAATCTCTTGTTAGAGTGTACGACAGTCTTAAAGTTACACATTAATAAAGAACTAATAAAAATACAGTTTGAGTGATAAAATCATCAATATAAAATCATAATAGCCTTGTATATTACGATATTAAAAATGCGCGCCATTTTAAAAACAATATTGTCATAACATTTGCACGCCATTTTTAAAAAGTTGACAGCTTTGTCAAGACATTGGTAGGGAAATACTCTGTCTAATTATTGACCTACATATTAAAGTAATTAATTTAAAATGTGGACTCCTAACATATTTACCATGAAATCAGTAGCAGTATAAATTCCCTTTTTCATCGTAAGCATTATACATTATACCTACTGGTTTATGTTACATCTATGTTATCAATAGTCGATTTTGTACTGATTTTTTTTATAATATGCGATTATTTACCTTACATAGTATTAAATATAACTGTACCTATCTACCTATATTTATGCACAAAATATACACTTACCACTTATTCATAAAAACTAAAACTTCCTACAAACTTATTTTAACTATTACACTGTTTTGTCACTTTTATTCAAACTGGGAATTTAGCACAAAAGAAAGAGACAAAACAGTTTAAAAGCTAAAATAGGTTTATTAGAAGTTTGACGTTTTTATGAATAAGGAGGTAAATATATATGTATTTTATCTCTTTCACACCTAGCTTTGCTATATTCATAGTTTCGCTAAGATAAAAAAATCCAAAGTAACGACATAATAAATCATTATAATCATTCATAATACATAATTAATATATAAAACATCTGTAATTAGTTATTCTTGTTAATATTTCTTTTATATAGTAGGTTTTTACTTTAAATTTATAGGGTCTGCTTGTAAAAACTGTTTGATCCTACGTTAACTTAGATGTATAAGTATTGCTAAGTCTGTAGTAGTAAGTCGTCGTTTTTTTATATGAATAAACAATATGCCATGTTAGTTACTTGGTCTTTTAGTATAACAATACAAAAGTGTTTGCATCTATTATCCTAATATTACATATTACTCGACCTATTTTATTGCCGCTTTCTTTTAGAATTTGATTATTATTTAGTAAGAGTTTAAATTAAATTAAAATTGCTTTTGGGGCCATCGTCAATATGAGATGTTTAAATATTTAATAATATTAACAAATGTGCTTTATTTGTTCGCCAATATTTTAATTAAACAAGTAGCATTTTGAATGGAATAGGACATAAAGGTTTAGGGCCAGTCGGAAGCACGAAGAAACAAGTACTTTTTTTTATATAAGTCATTTTATTTATTTTATAACAAAATTATGTCAGTATGTCATGTCTCAATTAGATTTAAGCCAAATTTGAACATAAAATATTAATTATATAAAAAGTTATCGTTGTATGTATCGGCCCTTGTTCCAAGTGTAGTCCTTTGCAGTGATCATAACTTCTCAACAGTTCACCTGAAATTATCAAATAAAAAAAAAAAGTTAATTTCGTGCTTATTCAAAGGTTTATTTTTTAAAAATAAACAAAATAGGTGCTTCTGACAATTTACTCTCGATTTTTTTTAATAAAAGCAGCAGTAAATTATCCATAAATAATCGAAGTTGTGAAAAAAAAATTCTTCGATCAGTCACTAGTTTAATGTTTTAAAAAAGCTGTATAAATTTTATTTAAATCCAAGGTGATTTTTTAATGACAGTGGTCACCGACTTTAAAAACATAGTTTTAAGAAAAAACGCCTTTAAAGTTTAGTACTCAATGTTGGGTTAACCTCTGTTTCCGGGTTTAAAACATTTTTTTTTTTCTTTTATCGGTACGCGATTGACGAAAATTCTTAGAACTCACAATTTCTCTTGAACCTTTTGCAAAAACACGTCCCATGATAAATTACTCCAAATAACATTTACCTAAATGACCTACTCACTGCAACTACTACAGACATACTGAGGACAACAGAATAACTTTTAGGACTTTACAACCTAAAATTTGTGAATGTATGTATGAGTGTATATTACAGATTGTGTAAAGTGTATATTGTATGTATTAGTGTATATTCAACACATTAACAAAGAATCTTGGACAATAGACCTCGAATCCGCTATTTAGAGCTACCGCCAACTACCCACTCTCGAGCGTCAAAGAGCTCACCCTTTATTGTTGAATTAATCGAGTACTCTTGAATTTTTTAGAGAATATTTCCAAAATATGCTTTGAGAAAATAGATATCCCCTAACTCTATAAGTTAATCGTTATTCCAGTTAATGCATAAGATTTTTCTTTTTTATGGCTGATAATAAAATGGTAACCCAGCATGCGCTATTAGTATACATTGGCGGGGCACCCGTGAGGGATGATTGATGAGGATGAAAGACAGGTCAGTTAAATCGTGTCGAATTCAATGATAAATTAGCCACGATAGTTTCCAGGGGGAACCACGTGGAGGTCGACCTGATAGGGTATATTAATAGCAATGAGGACTAAACTCCCTATTACTAACAATCCCTTTCCCTCAATGTATAAGATTTTTTTTGTCGGATGAAAATGGATTGGTAACCCCGCCCGCGCTAACGGGATACGTTGGCGGAGCACCAGTGAAGGGTGATCGATGAGAATGAAAACAGGCCAGTTAGCCTATCATGATGATTTCATCTTGAAGAATTAATCATGATATTTTCCAGGGGGAACCACGTGGAGGTCGACCTGGTTAGGTATATTGCTAGCAATGGGATTTTTAGTCTCCTTTACTAACAATCCCTTTCCCCTTTCCCAATGTATAAGATTAGGTGAACGTAATTACAGGTAAAAACTTTTACATAGAAATAAAACGTGTAAGTAATAGTTATATTCATTTACAACTAGCGGCCCGGTACGTGCTTCGCTACGTATAAAGTAAAATAATATTTTTTTTTTTAATTTTAACATCAAATTTATTTATTCGAACAAAAAAAAACTGTCAACATTAAAAAAAGAATCAATTTGACCGCATAACCCCTATCTTAAAATAAGTTTGAAAGTGACATAAAAATCCCCATTACCAAAATGATCCGCCATTTATTGAATTCACTTGTTACAAAAAAATGTGACAAATGAAGAACCGCTCGACCGATTTTGTGCAAACTTCACATAAACCATCTACTAAATAGTCTCTACAAAGCCTAAATATTTGGTTTGGATAGGTGAGCCTGTTCTTGAGTTATAAAATTACAACGAAAAGTGGCATTAATTTATATATATATATAGATTATTGATCTCATTCGTATTAAATACATACTTCTGTATCTGTTGGTTGTTGTTTTGTTAGTAGAACTATTAAGACGCCAAAAGGTATAATCAAACAAATTTACTTTTACATGCTACTAAGGATTACTACTTTTGTACTATAAAAGTTAATCAATCAAACCAAGATCGAATATTATTATAAAACGGAACTAATTTCAGTAAATAAAAGTTGTTAAATAATTATAAAAAAAAAAATTCTTAAACTTGAACAAATCCCGTATCAATTAGTACGTTTTTCCTTATTTTTAGAGAATGACAATGCCACTGTAATTCTGCTATATTCACGTAACTTATAGAGTTTAGAATATATTTATCAACGTGAGAAGACTAAATACCGATATATTAAATTATAGTACTCGGTCTAGTACCGAATAGCAAAAATTGTTTAATAATTACATTCAATAATTATTGAATGGCAAACAAGCTAACGGATATTCCTCCAAACTACATTATAACAATACGACAAGAAAACTTTATATCGCGTTTTAATTTTACACAACGCCATCTATTATATTATATAGGATTTAAACTAGCGCCATCTATTACTTCAGACAGGCACTTTCATTTATGTATACGAAACATTTTCATTAATTTAGAGCGATAAAAATTACCTGTTTTTTTTTTTATTTCAATGCACATGCAAATAAATTGGTGTCAACTTTTTGTTGTTGTTTTAAATAGCAATGACGATTTTTTTAATGTATGACAATGAAATAGCAACTTGCGCTAACGGTATACACTGCACTAGGGCAATTAAAAGGCAGGTTAGCCCATTGTGATGAATACACATAGAATTCAGCACGATGGTTTCCAGGGGGGACCACGTGTAGGTCGACCTGAAAGAGTATATTGCTAGCAACTAGGGACTGGTAGTCCGCACTACTAACAATTATAACACCCCTCCCCCGAATGGCTTTGACTAACAAACAAAATTATAATTTTATTGTAATAATTTTAATAATTTTCCTTTGTTTATCCATATTTAGCCGAATAAACCGTCAAGTTACCTGAAATTTTATAAAACATTTAACACATATAATGGCGTTGTAGTTTTTTTTATAATACAGAAAATAAATAGACGTTTGGAACATTTCCTTCTTTTAAAACTATTTTATATTTTAGTACATTTTTACTACTACATTCATGTACCCACTCGTTTCTATTAATTTCCATCTATCCTTCAATCGATTGCACGAAAAAAATAGAAGGCGATGACCTTATTATGAAAAAATTTGATTATTGGATTAAATTATTGACTATATTGAATTGATTTTTATACATAATTAATTACATAATTTTAATACGTGTGTTGGATATCATAGCTTATAGGTAAACAACAATAAATTTTTAATATTTTATTCTACAAAATAAATTTGCGACTTTTTAGATTTTTTTTATCTGTGGGTTATATAATATAAGCCATAATTGAGCATTCTGGGACGTCAAACTCAACATTTTCAAACGCAAGTACTTCCAAATATGTAACTAAGTACCAAAATAAATAAAATAAATACACATACGCCCCGGGGGAGACGTATGGATACTGCCGGACTCCTACCGGTTAAAAACCAACCAAAAAACCTCTGTATTATAAATTCTTTTTCGAAAATAGATTATTACATTTGATAGGAAATCGCAGTATTACAAATTCAAAAGCACGCTTTAGTTATTTAGGTTCTGTTTTAAATGAAAGCTATCACAAAAATGCATTTCTAGGAACGATTTTCTTTTTACTTCTGACAGAGGTTCCAAAAATATACCTGTATATTTTCGTTTCATTCAACAACAACGATTAGGTAGATATTCGACTTTACGCTTAGTGATCTGCATTTGAAACGATGACTCAGATCTGTCGAATGGCGTCTCAAAATATACGGACGGTCCCATGGAAAATCAGCTGCATGACCACAACGGTGGGTTTAGTTTTGTATATCACGCTATATCTAATCGTCTTACAGTTACTTGATAGATTTTTTATATATTTTTTCATTCATAGTCCGTGATTACCTCATCGCCTGGCGCTACCGTTCGGTTTTGCGCAAACATGCGCGCCGGGCGCAATGCCCATCTACATTGCTCGCTTTGCATTGGTTTTGAGGTCATTTCGAAGAGTTTCCTTGTTGTTCTTGGAACGCAGAAATAAATAAGCTATAAATATATACTTTTATTAATGCGTGGCACGTTCGCTAGCCCGCTTCCGTTGAAGAGCAGCGCGTAATTTGGCTAAAAAGATTCAGAGAGGGCCGAGAAAGAGTTCGATGTTCGGGGGATTGTCCATCAAGATTCGTCCCTCCAAAATTATAATTTTACGAGTATATCTCGTAAACTTATAAGGAAATATGAAAACGATTTGGGGGACATAAATGAGATAAAAAAAGCTACGACGGGGCAGCTGAGAAACCTACAACCAGAGGACTTTCAAGGCTTTTGTCAAGTATATGAAAACGAGCTTTTGTCAAGTATATACATAACATTTATATTAACGTTAATAAACTACATTTTAAAGGACTGATTACAAATTGATTGAATTTTATACCAATTTAGTTAATCTCTCTCATTTCATTCTCTTATCATTCCCTGTAATTTGTAAGTGTTCTATAGCCGATACTATGAACTATGTATATAAATATGAAATTTAAACTAACTCTTTGGCGATATAAACACTATAAACAAATCAAATTATTTAGAGAAATGAAGAGAC